TAATAAAAATAAATCCGATTAACTAAGTTATCATCACTGACTCACTCTTTCGTAGACTTACTACTATCTTATTTATTACTACATGTGTTCGTTAATGTAAACTATATTAACTTTTATAATATCGATTAAATATAATTTTAGGTAAGCATCAATTATAACGCAATTTTGGATTAATATATTTAATACATCTCAATTTACTCATAGTGTGAAAATGCCAAGTAACAATATTAAAAAAGTAATATGATGCAAACATAAGTTCCATTTATATTTTTACGTATAAAGATAAAATAAACTAGAGAAATAATTACAATATAAAAAGTAAAGACATGTTTTGAAACAAAATTGTAAAAAAAAAGAGTTACGCAGCAATAAACTGAAAAAACTACTAATATAGGATCTAATAATGCACCATTTAATAATACACCATAGTAAATTAATTTATAATTAATCGCAAAAATAAGGTTTAGAAGCAAAAGTGTAAGTCATTTTCCCTGAACGGGAAGCAAAAACTCAAAGGTTACCAGTGTATTTGGCGAGGAGGTAAATTTTCAGGGAACCTGCGAGCCTTTCAAGACATGATTTGACTTTGGATACAACGTAACAACGTATATTTGCACCGACACAACTTCAACATGAAGGATGTTGTATAATGTATATATTTATTTATCACTGCATAATCCCTGACTTCCCCTGCCGACGAGGATTTTGCCACATGGCAGTTTGACGGTCCCCGGCGGAGTTATCCCCTCGGCTTATAAATTACATCGGGGCTTGAGCGAGGTTTAAGGGTTTGCTTAAGTTGTCAAAGCAATCGGGGAGTTAAACGCCCCGTCGCTGGGGGTAAGCGACCTTAATGCTTTTTCGAGCGGATCTATGAAACGCGCCGAGTCAGGCAGCGAACCACAGAAAATAATTGAGGGAAACGGGTAGACCTTAAGTATTCTTCTGAACTTTTCAAAGAAAAAGCGTCTGGCAAACTTTGACCAATCATTTGCATCATGCTGAATACATCTTTGATATTACATATTACATTCTCTTTTTTTATTTTTATACTTATTTATGGGAGTGCATTTTATTAGTAAATATCTAAAAAAACGTCCGCACTTTTTATATTTAAAAATATATGCATATCTAACATTTAATGATTAACGATATTAATACCATTAGTAATCAGATATTAAAAAATGCAAAAAGATAAATTATTTCTATAAATTGCTTTTATATGATATATGATGTATCTCACGTTATATAAATGTTTTGAAAGAAATAATTTATTAAACCGTTAAATTATTGAATTGTTGAATTATTGAATATTATGTAGAAATTCTTTGCAAAAGAACTTTTTTACTAATTTCAATAATCTGTCTCTGTTATTGAATTGTCATAACTTCGAAGACTGTTATTCCTGAATTTAGATATTAAAAATGAGAACAGACAGAGAAAACACATTAATTAATTATCACTTGTTTCACAAATCTATCTTACCTCATCGATGTTGGAAAAGAAGCTTGTGAAGATTTCTCAGTAAATTAATGTTATCATGATTAAATTCACACTAAATATGCAGAATACATCAATCACATCGAAACTGAGGATTAAGACAGCATTTCTTGTTTACCGCAATCGTTGAAGTGAGACAACAAATCGACACTTTCTCAGACTATCTCAAACTCCTTTTATGATCAACCCTTTTTCCGCCCTTACAATCGTAAGTCCTGTGAAGGTTGTGCAGATCCGGTAACGAATTTCGATATCCTCTAGCGAAAAAGGGCGAGTATAGGCATGGCGGAACGAGGAGGCGGAAGGTAGTGATAGTATTGACTCGCTTTCGCGGATGTGCGCGGAGGCGGAGTTTTCGACCTATCTACCTCGGCATTCTCCGTGTATCCCCTACTTCCATTCCGCTGCCCCCAGGAAGCAGGGAAGCCGGGGTCGTGCCGGGTTCGACCGAGTCGGGTAGAGTGAGACCGACTCTCGTCGCACTGTCAACCCCCCACCCACGCAACGACAAAACTCCCGCTGAAGGGTGATCCAGCAATGGCGGCAGGACTTGTTGTATTTCGCTTTCGAGGTGAACTCTCTCCATTCCCTTCTACCTTCTCGATTCCATCCCTGTCCCGCGTGCTCCCCCGATCTCGAGGCCCGGATAGGTATGGTGGCGGAAGGTGTGGGTAACGGTGAGAAAAAAGAGAGCTGCACAGCGAATTGTGGGGTCCTAGAGGAATGAGGAGGAATATCAGGAAGGAGAGAGGGAAGGAGAGAGAAAGGGAGGGAGGAAGAGGGAGGGGGAGAGAGAGAGAGAGAGAGGGTGGAAGACTATATCGCTTGTAACAGGAAGCAGCAACCTCCATTTATTTTATTACATTATCATACCAACTAGGTGCTCGAAAAGTGGGATTTTAAAGCAACGGTTCTCAAATCGTTCCGCGATAACTTCGGCGACTTTTGCCGATATCATTCGCTTTAGCTCTATTCTTTTAGCAACCAATATTTTTTTTTCAAAATCTAGGTATTTTAATTTCTAATTGTGGTTGCTTTAAATCTTATGTGATAAAATAAAGTGTATATCCAAATATATGATTGATAAAATAAAATTAAAATATAAAAAATTTATAAAAATGAAGGCAGTTATTTCTTTCAAAGACACCGGAAAGAATGAGAGAAAGAAGGAAAGAATAATTAAAGTAATTAATTAATTATTTATATAACATATGTTTTCTTTCTCAATGTTGTCTTTATATAGGATGGAGTTAGTTAAATCGTACCAATGATTAAAATACCTCTATTGTATTTTCTAAACGAAACATTTTTCTCGAAGGTAATGATATAAATGTGACACTATGGTTAGTACTGTCATTTTTTGTTTTCAAGCTATTCATACACTATGACATTCAAAATTAATTTTGTTCGGTGTTTAATATTTGAATTTTTTTCATGTATAGCATCAAATTAGCAAAATATTTATAAGTTATGCTATATAACTGCTGTTGGCAAATTTGTAAAAATGCAGATGGGCAAATCATAACTTTTATATTGTACTTACATTTAAGATAAAATAACATATTGGCCTAATTTACATCGTATACTTGATACGGGTACTAACTAGTAACTTAATTTAACTAGTTAACTTAATTTCGGCAATACGCGTGTAAATATATATACATATATATATATATATATATATATATATA